AAACATTTGCTCTGGCACAATGAATCAATTCTGAAACTTAGTTCAATTAATCAATTTCTGAAAAAGTATAAAATTGAATTCTTTAAATAAATTCTAGGTGTGTTGTAAATATGTTAATTAACTCGTTTTGTTCTTTTCCATTATTTGCTCCATATGTTTTATCATTTTGATCCATGACGTATATTACATTATATTATGGGGTAGCTCATCGTGCTTCCACGCCACAGATCCGGGGTTTAAATCCCGAGTTGAGCAAGATCGATTCAAAATTTCATTCCGTTAGTGGGTCAATAAATAACTACCAAGCTTGCTTGGGAACTAAGCCCTAGGGGTTTCGTGTTGGACTAACACCACACGACCGGAACATCTACTCATGCACCTCAGCGCCTATGGTCACGAAAACTGAGCTGGGCACAGTAGGCCTTGCTCTTCCATTGGCCACTAAGTTATATTATATTATATTATATTATATTATATTATATTATATTATATTATATTATATTATATTATATTATATTATATTATATTATATTATATTATAGGCCGTGGGTAGCCTAGTGGTTAGAGCATCGGACTCGAGACCGGAAGGCCTGGGTTCGATGCCCGATGCCACCAAATACCCTCCGAGTACACACGGAGTACGTGCTCGTTAAATCAGTGGGTCCGAAGTCTTGTGGGCTGAGTCACAAGCGCAGGGGACTGGAGAATATTACCCTTCCTTTCAGTTCCATGCAAAAATTGTGGAGGTGGAGATAGGTGGTGTCGCCATGTATCATCCCTTCAGGGAATTTCGCCGAGCTAAATCGTACTGTCACCTGTATGGTGCTCAAAGCCAACGACAGGCGTACTTCTAGCCCCTTGCCACGATGAATCTCGTGGGCCTCGATCTGACTACGTCAAACAGGCGGCATTAGTAACAACAACATATTATATTAAGTTATATTATATTATATATTAAATTATATTATATTATATATTAAGTTATATTACATTATATATTAAGTTATATATTATATTATACGAAGTTATATATTGTATTATATTATATTAAGTTATATATTGTATTATATTATATTAAATTAAGTTACATTATGATATATTATATTACATTATGTATTGAAAAATATAGAAGCTTTGTAACCTACAGACATATAAATTTTAGAAGTATAAATCGTAACTTTATCATTTTTATCATGTATACCTTTAAGCCTTTTTTTAAAATCGATTAAGTATTTTTCCTTTTATTTTTGTAACTGAAATGCAATATTTTTTTTTCATTCACTGACTGTAAAAGTGCTGGACAATAACAGTTTTTATATCGGGAATAAAATTTTTAAAAAATAATAAGACTTCCATTGTGATGAAAATTTATATACACACATAGTTTTTTATTAATTAAATAATATATAAAAAATTAATTTAATGTTTTGCGCGGTAAAATAACACTATATATAACAAGTATCATTATAAGTATTTAGTAATGAATCCTTTAAATATTGGATTGCTTCACACTTTTGAGGTTCATGTTTATTTAATGTGTGTGATTCTCTTTTTAGCTTTATCCATTCTACATCTTCTATACTGTATCCACGAAAAAGTTTTATGCAATTATACTAGCTAAAATGGACTGCAATTTTAGTCTTAATACTTAACAGTGTTCTTCGAAGCAGTGTAGAAGGAAAATCCTGGAGCATTATCGCCAATCACAGATATAGCTGGTAATTTGATTTATTGTTGAATATGACGAGTTTATAGGACATTTTTATATGAAATATTAGCCGCAATGTGTAGTTTTACTATGTTATTTTTAAGTTCATTAATTATTCTTAAGCTAAAACTTACCATTAACTACATCTTGCACTCAGAAACGTGAGAATTAAAATTGCTTTAAAGAATTTGGAATAAATTCGGCTTTACAATAACTTAAATTTTGGTGGAATTACCGAATAGCTAAAGCTCCAGCACATTGAAAAGGAGAATCTAATTGGTGTTTAAAAGAAATGGATCTACATCAGTGCTATTCAAACTTTCAACATTTGCGACCTTATTTTCAGTCATAATTTTCCTCGCGCCCCCTCATACAATAACAATGCATTAATTATGTACTTTAATGATAAAGCTACAAAATGACTTTAATTATAAACCGAACAAATTATCATGATAATATTAAATTTTATATATATATATATATATATATATATATATATATACATCACAAGTTCATGGGAGTCTCTAGTAATTATTAAACTTGCTTTTAATTTAATATTGATAAATTACTCTTAATTATGAAATAAATTGTGCAGTACTATGATACTTTTAAAACTATATCAGTATAAATGTATATTTAATTTTTAATTGTGGGAGAATATATTTGTTTCATTCCCTTCAATAAATTAATAACTATTTTAATTCTTTTATTTTCAACTTTTTGATATGCTAGCACCCCACACGTACGGTTATCACGCCCCCTAGGGGGCGCACCTTACAGTTTGAGAAACGCTGATCTACATAAGGTGTACCACTACTACTCAGATGTAGTTTAAATTACGAACAATTGTTACCATTTGAAAGAGGACGAGCAATTGGACTGGCCGAAGGTAGTCAAAACCCACTATCGCTATCATTCTACTATGTTCACAGGAATAGGTGAATCACGCCAAAGAATGTCAGAAGGTAGAACCTTGACAGAATATCAAGAAGGTAAAAGCTGAGCGAGAGTGACAAACAGAAAGCGAACCCAAAATGATCATTCGATCGGCCTTCACAAACTTTTATACGTTTTTATCAATGTTCTCACATATAACTGGAACACAAATAACTGCAATATCTATCGATAGGTGGCTGACAGAATGGGGACGAAGGTCACGGAGGCCATTGCACCGACAACCCCTAATCGTTACATTTCACCAGGCGCGTTTGCAGTGATGCCAGAAATTTCACGGACTCCGTTCAACCCAACAAACACAAGTTACAGTAAGAGATACCATTTCATTTGACAACTGGCTGATTTTGGTTCTTATCAGAGATAAGCTCATCGCAATTATGTTTACTATGTGTCTCCGTTTTTTTCCTGGCCATAACGCTTACCAGATCTCTCCCCAATAGAAATATCTCTATTTGGGTTCTGCTTAGATGTATTTGGCCATCCCTGGATCGCTTTAATCAAAGTCGGCAGTTAGAACGCGCACGGCAAACAATCTCGCATGAGGACGTCTATCAACTGAATCAAACCAACTCCACCAATTCATGGAATCAATGCCCAATTGGATAATGGCAAGAGGTAGACCAGAGCATTATTGATTGATTTATTCTTGTAGCCGTATTTTCTGAACAAAACAGTCAACTCTTATGATACTGCCAGTACGTTTTAATTGGTACATGTAAGTGACATGTGCCAATTTTCAACGCATTCGAATAATTCTTTCTTGGCGCGTCACTTTTTATGTTATAGAGTGAACATAGTTCACTAAATAACACGTATTAGTGCACTTATAACAAGACATTTCAGCTCAAATATACAAAAATTAAAAAGACAAACATTTAGGCCATAAAATTTTAAACCAGTTTAAGTTAATTAAGTTAAGTTACTAGTTTATGTGGGTGTCTCACATAAGGAAAAGTGGATACAAAATAATAAGTATTCCTCGAAACGTCGCTTTCAGTCATCGTAAAATATAACTATTTCGCTTCTTTCTCTGAAACAGAAGTGCTGACTAGAGAGAGAGTCCCCATCTCTTTAACCATAAAAACCAATAAAAAAATCCTTCACAGTCTGGTGAAATTCGGAGAATTCCGAGAATCCAATTCCGTTTTCTTTTTACTAAAAAACACGATATTTCGCGTGTTGAAAGATATGATTCGAAAGTTAGTCAAGAAAGCATTTTAGAAGGAGTTATGTGCAACATTTAATCATTTGTTCTTTTTTTAAAGGTCTTTTTTCCAGGAATTTTGTCTGGAGCACAGAATCCCCCTCTTTTCCAAATGTGAAATTCGGTATAGTTTAGTTTACTCACGAATTTTATTTGGAAAAAGGGGTTTAGAGGAAACTATCTTGCAAAAACATGTATTTGATTTAGTTGTTCGAAGAAATGTGTAATTTCTAAAGGTGTTCCGCTGGCTAGTTTTATTGGTAATCATTTTCAGTCTTTGGTAATTGTACTATCTGTTTAAGTTTTGAGTACTAATAACATTTTTAAAGTTATTAGAAAGAAATTTATATATAAAGGAAGAAAGTAACTCACTCACTCATTCATTCATTCACTCCCTCACTCGCCACGATAGCTATTGAAATACTAAGCCTACAAACTTGAAATGTGGCAGGTTTGCTTCTTCTCTTGAGTAGAGATCCGTTAAGAACTGATTTCATGGAAATAGACTTACGAGTAGAGTTGCGGGGATTACGGAGATGTCATAAATTTAAAAGAAATCGTTTTCATGAACTATCACGACTTATAAACTAAATTTAGAGAACATGCTTTTTTTCCTGTTGTGTTGATAGCTAAGAATGGATTTTGCAGAAATATATTCCTAAGGGGATTGTGGGTAAATTATAAATAAAAAAGGTATTTTTGTTTTTGAGCTATATGACCTACAAACATGAAATTTCAGCAGCATAACTTTTGAATGAGTCGAGATCTCCTAAGAACGGATTTTGCGGAAAACGACACATAAGGGGATTGTAAATAAATTATAAATAAACAAGTAATGTAAAAAAAAATTAAGTCAATTCCTACTTAGGTCAACAAAGAAAAATTTTATTTTAATTACTTTTTATTAAATAGTTGCAATTAATATAAATATGCATATACATATGACAGAATCATATTATTCAATGACAAAAGAGAAAGAAATTTTCCTCGCAATTTTCCATTTTCCTTTCTATATAGGATGCTGGACTATTTTTTGCTTGTTTGTTTGTTACTATTTACTCATTAATTAAATTTAATTTTTCAAAAAAAAATAGTATAGTAAAAAAGAAGAAACATTCTCAGAAATTAGGCCATCCCAGGTAGTATTCGAATCTACGATCTATGGATTAGAAGTCCAACGCGCTATCCATTGCGCTACAGGGACACAACGAGCGATTTTCCTTTCTATATATGTTGCTGAACTGTTATTTTTGCTTCTTACTATTTATTTGTTTTTTAATTTAATTAATGAAATAACATTTGAAAAACTGTATTAACATCAAGTGTCATCCCCTACAAGTTGAAAAAATGTATTTGAACTTGAATGGATGAATTAAAAGTGTGTTTAAAACGATTGAAAATTCGAAGAAGATATATATATAGAGAGAGGGGGGTTTACGGATACATGGATGTGTTATCCACAAAAAAATTCCCGTATTCGAACAAACTTAAAATCAAACAAGCATGCTTTTGTAGTTGATGTTGATGATTAGAAATTCGCTAAGAATGTGAATTTTGCATAATTCGATTCCTTAAAAGGATTTGTGGGGTGTAAAAGATAAATATATACTTCCATTTTATAAATTCCTGTCTTTTTTAATTCAGGAGACGAGGGCTATAAAAGGATGCGTTTCAATGCTATACAATATTTATTGTCAGGACTTCGATAATAATTACAGACAATGTAATCACTGCGCAATATCATTAAATATCCAATGAAGCTAGTGGGTAACGTTTAGTGTGAATATACACTGCTGAAGGAAGCATGCAAATAACATGAAATTTACAACATGCATTAGCGGTGATGAGATATGCAAATGATTTGAATTTCAGCTCAGACACACATCACGCGCGCCTGTGGTGCCACCTCAAAGGGTTATTTAAGGCTTGGATATTTCGACGATTTCAAGTTCGGCAATTGTGTTTTTCTTGTGGTTTTTTCAAAAACGATCAGTTATGCTCGTACAAAACAGCGATCAGTTTTTCATCAAGTATCCGAGTTCGGCATAGGAAGGATAGTAGCCTACCGAGAGAGATTGTGTATTATCTTTCAGGAAAGTCGGTAGTCGTATTGGGCGAAACCAAACAACTGTAATGCGGATATGTAACCGTTGGATGCAGGAAGGTACGATGGACTGACGTTGTCAATAGCATCCACCTCAGTGCACCACTTCACGTGAGGACAGCCAAATTGTGCGCATGGCAGTGACGTATCGCTCAGTCACATCACGAACCATATCACAGCACATTGAGTCTATAACGCATCATTCAGTGTTTTCGCGTACCATTCAACGCAGTTTACAGCAGAGTGGTCTGTCCGCAATACGTCCATTGCTTAGTCTACCCTGGATGCAGAACCACAGACGTCTCCGTTGCCAATGGTGCGATGAAAGAAGGATGTGGGTGGCAGAAGGGAATGAAGTTGTCTTTACTGACGAGTCACGCATCTGTCTGCAAAACCACGATGGTCGGATTCGAGTCTGGAGACACCGTGGAGAGGAGATACTGAACAACTGCGTTATGCACCGCCACACTGGTTCTACACCGGGTATTATGGTATGGGGCGGTATTGGATATCACTCTCGCACTCTAGTATGCATTACCGGTACTTTAAACAGCCAGCGCTACATCTGTGAGGTGTCCACAGCCATATTTCAGCAGGATAATGCGCGAGTACACGTGGCACGCATTGTCCAAAGGTTCTTCGTCAATTACCAGATTGAATTGCTTTCCTGGACATCTCGGATTTTCCCCGATAGAAAAAATATGGTCCATGGTTGCTCAACGATTAACCCAGATTTCAAACCCAGCTGCCACACCAGATCAACTTTGGCAACGCGTGGAAGCTGCTTGGTCTGCTGTACCCCAAGAACAAACACATCCAAAGTCTCTTTGAATCAATGCCGAGGCGTGTGGCAGCGGTGATCTACAACAATGGCTACTGATTGTGGTAGAAACCACACTTCACAAAAGTCTATAAATTTAATCATTTGAGACTTGGTCAACATGTTATCTACAAAATAAATTTTGTTGTGCTATCTCTTTTCTTTCTTGGTGTTGCATTTAAGATGGCCAGCAGTGTATTTTAAGGAGAGAGAGAGAGAATAGTGTTTAGTTTTATCTAATAACATTTTTAAAACTTTAAAAATGTATGCAGTTATAGATAATTTAAAAATGTATAGAGAAAATTGTAAATTTTATAGCCTATGTATATAGGTCAAAATTTCTCATTGTAGCGCAGACATTTCTTTTGAAATACTGTCAAATTTTTAAAAAATTCTTATTGTACTAGTATATTATTGTTCATGTCAGAGTTTATTACAAGGTATGCATGCATTAAATGAAGTATTTTTATAAACATGGAATATTTAATTGCGTCGATAAATATGTCAAATCTTTTTATTATGATGTCTCAAAAAGTTAAGTTCAGAGTTATCATTTATAAACAGAATAATACTGTATTTAATTAAACTGCTTAATTTTTCGTATCTTATTAAGTGAATATATGTTTAACTGTATATACTTAAAATACCCATGTTTCAGTCAAAGGGGGGAAAATTCATGTTACAAAAAAATAAATTTTCAAATCGCCAATCGGCAAACAATATAGCACTGTAAATAAAATAATTTATGCAATTTCGCTATATATATATATATATATATATATATATATATATATATATATATATACCACAAAGACATTAATACTACATAAAATGAATAAAAATGTACTAGTATGTAATAATCATGATGTAATTGACTCTTTTACATTTAGTTAAAATACCATGGATCCTTACATACGAATATTTTTCTGAAAAAGCGGCGTCCCATTCAGGAGTAATAAACTGACGAATATAGATAAAAACTAAGGCATTCAAATGTCCAGCCTTTATTTTAAAATATTCTTTATAGTCACGAAATCTCAATTCTAGCATATTTTTTTACTATAATTGTTGAACAGCTGCTTTTGTAATGTAAACGTGCTTTTATAGTTATATTCAAGAAGTAAGCACTAATTATGCGATCTTTTCTATAGATTTCGCAGTCAAATTCATTGTGTTATACAAAATCACAATCCATTGAAATGACTATTAAATTGTTAGTATATTTTTGTAACATTTGAAACCAGATGATCTGAAGCTACAGTACGGGTTAATTGAATGTTTGTTAACGTCGCAGTACGACGCATTATGAGGACTAACTACTCTGTAGTACGGGGTACATTTTCAAGGACCATGCTAGTAGCATATGAAAGAGTAAATATTCTCGAATAACTAAATATGTGTATAAGACCTAGGATGTCTGTTTTTATCATTTTAGTTAAGCTTGATCTTCGTTGTCAGCCAAGGGAGACGAAATAAAAGAAAATTTGAAAACTACTGCCTTAAAAGTTTTTTGAATTACACACAATATTTTTTATTCCACTGATCAAAAATATACGAAACTTGTTATTTATCCATGTGATAATTTTTTTAAAATGCTATTTTTTTGCCAGGATTTTAATAATAGTGAAGTTTCTCGCACTCTCGAATCAAACCTGTTTTCGTTGATCAATGAGTAACCAGTGGATGCAGTGTTAAATATATTACATTTGAAGAAATTCATTAGTACTCTCTTTCTAATATTCATTGGCGTCTTAAGACTTCTAGAAACCATGGGCCCTTATGGAAAAGTTGGCCCTACCTGCGACCAATTTATGTAAACATTATGTACTCGTTTGAAATCGTAGCTCGTAACAAATAAACACGCGGGACTCACAATATCAATACCTGAACACAAACCGATTGGCGTTTTTTAATTAAATGAGCAAGGATGGTGTATGGTGATAGACTTAGGACAAGATACGGACGACAGACATTGCATGATAATTCAATCTTTCCAACGTTACCAATTGTATATATTTTGAAATTCCCAGCTATTTGGAGGATATAGCCGGAAATAAAATCGATGATTAAAATTATTTGGATCTGGATCATATTGATGCAGAATTGAGAACGAGACGATGGCCCTCCACCAAGGCTGAGACCTTGGGCCTATTTGCACATGCCTTAAGGTATGCGACTACGTTTGGAACCGTGATTTAAAAAAAAGCGCATAAATGGATAATTTTCATGATATTTAGTATCACTTAGATTAGAATACATGTATAAAATTGTTTTAAGGACATTTTGACAAAAAAAATTATTTAAATAAAATATTTCGGCAAAAAATTAACTTAGAATAACCTTTTTTTTCAAAATCTTCTCCTCTTCTAAAAAATTCTTCTATTATTATAATATTGTGCCTGTATATAGCTCAGACCTCTGTACGGAGGCTCACCTATGAGTTTTGAAGAATTCACATTATTTTCAGAGTTACAACCATTATCGGTGTTTTGTTCTGAAAATTTATCTCCTCTGTTTTCGTAAAACATGGATAAACCCACTTCTAAGCTATAAAATTTCTAGTTGAGCTTCTGTACAGAGGTCTGAGCTATATACAGGCAAAATATTATTGTAATAGAAGCATTTTTCACAAAAGGAGAATATTTTGAAAATGGGCCATTCTATGTTAATTTTTTGTCAAAATATTGTACTTAAATTATTTTTTTATTGTAATACTATTCTTAAAACAGTTTTATATACATTTCCTAATCTAAGTGACGCTAAATATCATAAATATTATCCATTTATACGCCTTTGCAAAATCATGGTTCCGAACGCAGTCGGATACCTTAAAATGTCCCTGTTAATATCGTGTATAACTGCATTATATAATAATCGGAATGGTTATATGTTTTCTTTTGTTCAGCTAGATACATGGCACTTAAATTTTTTTAAATAAAATAATTAAAAAAGATTTCTTGAAACATTATTTCAAAGGTAACGTATCATATTTTTGAAAAAAAGTTTCTTTGTCGATAGCTTTATCCTTGAATAAAAGCGAGATGTATTATATACAGTAAGATGCCAAAGACAGATTACCGAAATTATTTAGAAGCCCCAACTTTTAAAAAACTTTATTTCCTTTATTTCCTTGGCAAAGTTTTAATTTCATGAGATTATACCTTGTCATTATACTCTGAAAATAACTGCACTTATCTTTAAAAAAATGCACTTCAAATGCAGATATATTTCACCTTCCATCACGGCGTGTTCTGAGCGTGACTTCCATTCTAGGTGACTT